CAAACACACATCAGAAAGCATTATCAACAGTGCATCTTATGGTAAGTCAGTTTACAACAAAACTGAACAAGGCAATTGTGTTTACAGAAAAAGTCTTCAGCAAAAAAGTATGCAATACAGTCAACTGAAACGCATTGTTCATACTTTTTAGGAATATAGGAAAGTGGAAAATAAAAGTCCTTTGCTATTCAGCAGGAAAGAGTTTAAAAGACTTGAATGGAAATCAGAAATTTAGGGATCTGAAAAAATAACTTTTTGGTACTGACACACATCTACATGTATAGTCCCACTTAATTTTTGTTTTTGTTTTTTCTTTAAAAAAAAAAAACAAAACCTCACAAACAATGAGACATCACAAATAATACAGCAGAACCATAGTGCCAAGAAATGCTAAGACCAATATGCTACTGATACAACTGGTAGAAATGTTACAGACAACTATTCACTAGGTATTGTAATATTCTTGTAGTTCTGAGGTGAAGGTAAACCAACAGGAGAGATTACTCCTTGTAACTGGCTTTGGTTTAAGTGATCTTTCACATTTTTTTCTAACCATACCTTCTTATAAAAAATGTAGCAATTACATGTTACTGAGGGAAAATAGTACTAGGTTTTAATATTCACAACCAACTACTCCAGCTGACACAGGATGCCATCAACTGTTAAAATTTATTGATCTTAATTAGATTTTCTAAGAGTGATCAACAGATAGCAAAGATGGAGCCCTTTTGGGAAAAAATAAAATCCCTTCTACCCCAGATTTGACACTGTTAAGAGGTTATAAAGGAATGTTAAATTATTTAAGATTTCAAAAAAGAATTAAGAATGAAAGAGTAAATTCTGCTGGAAAACATATGACAGCTTTACAGTCTGCAAAGTAAATAATCTACAGACATGCAGCTTAACCTTTTTTTTAATTATAATAAATATACTTACTTCCTTAAGGTGCTGTAACTTTGCAGCTAGTGCATACTAATGCCACCCACTGTACCCAACGTGCAAAAGGAAATAATGGAGATGGCTAACCTCCAGTTTTCTGATCCTTGATTTGCGTAAGTGGCAATGTACACCAAATACACAAAAGCTGGAGTACAAATATTTATTTTTAAACATTAGGCCAAACTGAATATAGATATTTAATCTGGTTTCACAAACTCTTAAAATGCTTTTCTGAGGAAACAATGATGAGGAATGTGCAGGAAAGGCAATGTTTCTACGCTAGCGGTACCAAACCTGGAACTTTAAGTATCATTTTTAGCTCATTAACTATATGGAAGATTACTAAGACCAGTAAGGGAGCCATTTTCTTCCCCTCCTCAATTTTTTTATTACTTATCTCTCTCCTCTTTACTCTTAAAATTGGCAGTCTTCTGACAACCCATGCTAATAAAATAATATAGCTATATATAATTCAAATAACTAAAGAACTTTTGAGTGCATATATGCAGGATTTTTGAATACCTCACTGCATTTGCTCTTACACCCTCACTGTCCTGATATCATAAATATTATTAAGGGAAGATAACTTAGAAGGGGAAAGCAATTCCAATCTGGGATAAAAAAGTGATTACAAATAATTATCTTGTTGATAATAAGGGCTCATGGTAACAAGTAGCTCTGATTTTTCACATAAAGATTCCCCCCACCGCCACAAAAAAAACAAAATACGAACAATTCCAGTTTTTTTCCCCCAGAATGTGACTTATTTCCATTATACAAAGCAGTATAACAAAACAAGCTCTCTTCTGCAAAAAAAAGATTAATGGTTTATAAGACAAATAAGATAGAATGCTTCTCTTTGCCTTTAAATTAAAATACTATGAACCTAGGTAACAAAACATACATGGCTTTCTTCAAAAGAGCCACCAGCTTTCTTCCGGTTATTGTGACAGCTACCCAATTTAATGGGAAATAACACTAAAGCAGTCATTTGAGAAGTTTCCCATGAATTCCAGCATTTACAGAGCCACAAACACAACTGCCACAATTATGACAACTCTCTGAAAAGCACAAATAAAGCAAATTTAAAACATTAATCCTCATAAGCAGTACAAGGCAGAACAAAAGTGCTGACTGGTAGGAAAATGAATAAAAATTTCCTATCAGGAGAATAAAGTTTGTGTAAACTATCTTATATCCTGAAGATCATTTTAATGACCACCTATAAAATATAAAGTTTCCTAAATACTCTCTGATTTATAGATATTTCTCTTGCAGTCCACTGCTCCTATAAAATTACAGCAAAAATATTAAAATTATTTACCTTCTTCATAAATATCCACGGCACTTGTCAAGTACATGTCACTGTGAATCTACTGGTCATTATATAGTTTTAAAAACAGTGAAAAACATCTGAGGGAGGCGACTACAATAACAAACATGACATATCCTACAGTATCAGGCAGAGAAGCTATCCTAAAACAAATGAAACCAAATTTTACAATTCTAGGTACTCCAAAAACTAAAATATCCATGTTCTTCTGTGATTAAGAATGGGACTTATCTTAATATACCACAAGAGGCTCAGCTCCGTACGATGGAGACAACATTTTTATATTCATCAAGAAAGCTAATAAGTAATACTAACTTGAAACACTACCATCTCAAAATAAAGGTGATTGACTGAGCACCTTAAGAAATGGGGATTCTTTTGAGCTAAGTGTGACCAACTACTTGTCTATATGTGACCATAATTGACAAGAAATAAAATTATATCAGAGAGCCACAGTAATAAAATTTGATGAAGGAACCTGATATTAAAAACAGAACTAGAGATCCAAGGAAAAATTAAATTCTGCCAGACAATTCTGGCTTTTCCATCATACATAATATTGGAATAAAATCAAACACGAATAGTTTTACACATACAAAAAAATAAGGTAAACCAAGGCTATTTCCAGGAAGACAGTGAATATATATATGAAAAATAAAACAAAAAGTAAACCAAGAAAAGTTTGGACTTTTATACTATCATATGTGACTCAATTAAAAGTTACTCCAGGAAAAAGGCAGAAGTGCTATTAATTATCATCATCTGGGAAGCTAAACCAAATGAGTTTTAATATTTTCCAGGAAACACAAGGCACTTGCTTAAATCTTTATCTACACATCCATCAGACTCAAAGTCATGATGTGATTCCATCTGTACCCGAATCTGAATAAAGCCACCTAGCATGTACCCTTGCATAAGTGTCTAGGTAAATATATGGTTACTGAGTGTCTCCCCTACTCCTTCACCCAGTAACTATGTTGTTACAATTACTATCATTTACAATGGTGCTGATTTTCATTAAATTAATTGTACAAAAAAAAAAAAGTCATGCTGCCCTTCCTTTAAGTGACAGTTTTTTTAAAAAAAAAAAAAAAAAAAAGTCATGCTGCCAAGTACACTGATAGTAGAAATTACATGTAAGATAGGTCTAACAGTCAGAAAATAAGACCCAAAACAAAAGGATACCCAAATGTTAGTTATCTGCATGATGAATTAACTAAAACAAGCCATGAAACAGCATCTGATAAGTGCTCTAACTCTGCCTTTTATTCCAGAAAAGTAACTGATGCCCTTACCAGAGTGAAGGTCCAGTGTAATAAGACAGAAAAAAGCCTCTGCCCATGGTTTCTCTTCAGCTTTCTCTACATGGCAGCATTCCTTATAATACATTTGCTCAATAATTAAAATATAAGCAACGTGAATCTAGAAGACAAGTTAAATAAGCATTCAGAGATTTTCTTTTAAAGAATAATTTAACATATCTCAGCACTCTTAAGCAGCTGGAGTACCAAAAAGAAGGCAATATTTCTCTCAATAAAAACAAAGAGAAGTTCGAGTAAAACCATACTTATGGTTTTTGTTCTAAAAGCAGCCAGTTTGGCTCAAGGCATAGCAGAAAGGGAATCCCTCTAAAGAGAGCTGCTATATTGGTGGCCACAAAAAAGGAAGACATCCAGTGGTAATAAATGTGGATCTCTTATTGCAAGAGGATAGTTTTAAAAAATTCCTTTAAAAGGCAGTCAGTACTTTTAGTTAATGCTGTCTCTTACTGAGGTGTCCAACTCTACTTGTTTTTGTCCTGTAAATACAGCATTAGTTTTGACAGTGGCTAGCTAGCTACCCCCTCCAAATATGCTTCAAAAGAATCAAGTATTTCCTACAAAATAATCACTGTATGTGCCTTTTCTGGGTGTAAAATGTACCACAGTAATATCCCAAAGATGTAACTGGGAAGGTGAGAGGCAAGGAAGCACAGGTATTAATTTAGGGAATGAAAAACTACCTGAGACAGAATTTGCCCAAAAGGGTAGGAGTTAAGTGACATGAACCCTCACCTCTTTACCCTTTCTCTCAAAAAGAAAATTCTAGGTTTTCCAATAACTTCAGTAAATCAAAATCCCTATGTATGTATTTCATCCTAATCATGAAACTTGTATCTTTTGATAATATTTGGTTCAGGTTTAAGAAAGATAATATCAGAGGTGGGAGGGGTAATCTGCTAATGTGATCTTTGGTAGAATGGGCTAAGCTATAAAATAATTTAAATCACAGAGGCATTTCTTTTTCAATTCTCTGGCTTTAATATAAAACATGTAGCCGGGTATGGTGGCAAGCGCCTATAATCCCAGCTACTGGAGAGGCTGAGACAGGAGAATTGCTCAAACCTGGGAGGCAGAGGTTGCAGTGAGCTGAAATTGAGCCACTGCACTCCAGCCTGGGCAACAGAGCAAGATACCATCTCGAAAAAAAAAAACAAAAAACAAAAAAAACCTCTAATTAAATGCATGGTTAATTCAAGACTCATCAATTATTCCCTCAGCTCCCTTAAAATCTAGTTAGCATCTTCTGTAACAAAATCCTACAGTGTCAAGCACTAAATATATGTATGAATGTATCAGCAATAAGATGACAATCAAAGAATTCTGCGAAGATTGGCATCAAGATGTTAGCAGCATACTGCAGGACTAGGCTTAGAAGACTACCTGCAGTTTATTTGTAAAGATTTTTCTTTTGGGGGAGGAGGGGAGTGAAAAGTCAATGTGCTAACTTAGGATACTTGCCCTTATAAAGAATTTCTTTGTATCCCATGTTCATCGTATTTAAGGACCTGATGTTTCTAATCACCACAAAATCTGCTACCCATATGAACATTTAGGAAAGTTTAGGTCTTCACAATACAGGTTCTGCCCACTTGAATTCTGACTTGAAAACAAACCAATTTATAATCAACCCCTGAAAGGGCCAAAATAAAAAAAAATAGTTCTTCCTTCTAAGCGCATGTATTGGGGAACATGGTAAAAGACTCTTTGGTAATTCATAAATCAGCCTCCTTAAGCCAAATTTGGTTTCATAATAAACATTAAAGGAGAGTCCTGAATTTGACAATTGTAAATAACTAAAATGTCATGGGGTAATATATTTCATTCTGTAAAATGCAAATTCTAATTGAACTCTCAGCAACCTGCATGGCAAACATAAGGAAATATGAGGAGGCTTCCAGCAGGGAAAGATAGAAGACTTTTTCCTTAGGAAAAAATAAATAAATAAAAAAATTAATAACCTGTATATAACTCGTCTTTTTTTCTTTTTTGGTATAATCAGTGCTTCATAAAGGCGTCCTAACTTTTATATCTTTAAAGACAACCTACCATGAAATAAGAAGAATCCATAATTATAATTCTAAAAACTATGTAATCAACTTGTGTCCATGAACACACATACAGCAGCATCCTCTACTCAGGGACACATTAGGTTGCTATGAATCCTTTTAAGAATTCTTTGAGTTTTTCTTCCTTTCTACTTCTACTTCATTATATCTACACCTTTCTTAACTAACTTGCAGTCAAAAGCCAAACTACCTGGGATGCTGTTCCTCTAGTCTGTCTTCAGCTAAGGATAGAGGCAGAGAATTAGGGAAGTGGAGAAAAAAGGGAGCAGTGATATGAGAAACAGAAAAAAAAAAGAATCCTTTATTTTCCATCCTCTCTTCGCCCATTTTTTTCTTTTCCCTTCACTGTACATCTAATTCTTTTGACCCACTTCAATTTTCCATCATAGTAGATAGAGCCACATCTTGAGACACCTTAAAACTATAGATTTACTACAAAAAAGATGAGCTAATACTGAGTCTAAAGTAGACTAAAAGAGGGGTTGATTTACATCTGGCAAAACTTAGTCTTTGTTCCAATCATTTTAGAAGTCTCAATTTAACTCCAGGCTAGACTCGTTTGTTCTAAGTCTCTCAGGAATTATCTGTTTTGTCATTTACACTGTATCAGACAGACTACCTCTCAAAAAATGTATATCCTAAATCTTACGGATGTGAAACAGGTAGGGAAGAAATGAGTATAGACTGTATTAGCTCACAGGATTCACACTATAAAGTACACTGACTCAAATTTTCTCTAATCATTCATACCCGCACACTCAAGCATACATACTAGACATAAAAATTGTGCAAGATCAAGCATCAGCTTTCTATTTTAAAAGCCTTAATTTAAAAAAACTTAGATAGGCTCACTGCAGTTCCTTTAAAGGAATATTCAGTACTACAGTACTCCTTTAAGAAAAAATTCACAACTCAGTGTTAAGAACACAGTAGGTAACTGCTGCTTGACAATTGCTTAACATTACTGAGAGCATCCAGTGCCAGCTTATGGGTATCAACAATAAGGAAGAACCACTGGACAACATAAAGAAATAATCTGTAAATGATGTCACCAAACCTAACAAATTTGTTAGTATTTACCAAGACATGATATTATTCATCCTTGCTTCATGACCCATGAAATAATTAAGATTTTTTTAGGTTACATACTGAAGAGCAACACCTGCTCTCCTACACAAAAAAGGGTTGCCCACATGGATGCTCTAAAACCCCTCAATGTATAGCTGAGAGGTCTTGTCCTACTCAGTGCCAAATGTATGCAATGCAGTCACTGCTTGGGCAATGGCTGCACATTAGTAGGATTAAATAAATGTACAAAGTACCTCTTAAAATGGTAAGGGGGTACTCCTGCATTCAGATGTGGAATATAATGACTCAAGAAATGGAAGAGGAGAAAAAGGAAACAGTCCTTAGGTTACTGATTAAAGCAAGGTTTGATACAGATATCCCCTCCTGTAGGCACTCAGTGGGTAGAATGTAGCCACAACAAACTTTCCATCAAACATCCTTCCAGTCAGTAATTTCTGCGCAGCTTTGGAATCACCAGCATTTGCATACTCGACAAAGACCTGAAAGAAGACAGAGAAAAAAAACGTCATTTCATTTCCACCAAGATTGTTTTAGACCAGCGCTTTACCACCTTTAATGGACATACATCAACTGGAGATCTTATTAAAATGCAGATTTTGCTTCCTTAGGTCTAAGATGTCATCTGAGTTTCTGATCTAAACAAACTTTCAGGTGATGCCGATGCTGCTGGTCCATGAACTATACTTCAGGGCAGCAAGGTTTAGAATACTTCCTCACAACTCAGCTTAACTCTGAAAAATCTCTCAAAGACAAGTTGTGTGAATCATGTACAATCTTTTGCCAAGGTCATTACAGGAGTGGTGAATAACACTAGACATCTCCCAAATATAGGGTTGAATAGCCCAGACAGCAATTGCATTTCAATGGTATCTGGATGATATTCTGTACTTTTAGAAATGAAAAAGGAAAAAATATTGGTCAAAAGCTGCTGGAAATTGCACCTATTAGGAGGTACAATTTGGCCAGGCGCAGGGGCTCACGCCTGTAATCCCAGCACTTTGGGAGGCTGAGGCAGGTAGATCATGAGGTCAGGAATTCGAGATTAGCCTGGCCAACATGGTGAAACCCTGTCTCTACTAAAAATACAAAAATTAGTTGGGCAAGGTGGCGCGCGCCTGTAATCCCAGCTACTCAGGGGGCTGAGGCAGGAGAATCGCTTGAACCTGGGAGGCGCAGGTTGCAGAGAGCTGAGATTGTGCCACTGCACTCCAGCTGGGCAACAACAGAGCAAGACTCCATCTCAAAAACAAACAAACAAAATCTAACTGGGCGTGGTAGCACGTGCCTGTAATCCCAGCTACTTGGGAGGCAGAGTTGGGAGGATCACTTGAGCCCAGGAAGTTGAGGCTGCAAAAAGTCAAGATCACGCCACTGTATGTACTCCAGCCTGGGTGACAGAGCAAGACCCTGTCCCCAGCTCCACCCCACCCCAAAAAGGAATAATGAATCTATTCCTGATTTTTTTTTTACCCGATTCTTAATTATTCCCAAACCTATAGACCAAAGTTGAATAAATGAGTAGACATGATTTATAGAAGGAATATCATGTTTTCTATAATACTCCTTGCTTCAGATAGGCTATACTTTTCTATACTACACCATCCCACACTAAGAAAGTCATCTTATTTTTATAATTCATTATGAAATTAATAGGGCTATATCATTTTAATTCTGATTTTTATAATTGCATTATCAGACGCATTCATTATTTTTCAGTGTTTTTTGTAACATTCCTTATAAAACCATGTTTACTTGAATTGAAAATTCAAATTAAAAAAAAAAAGAAAATTCAAATGAAGAATGGCTTTGACAACTAGGTAATGAACATTTTCAAAAATCTAAATAGATTAAATCTGTGATTCCAAGAGTTTATCAAAAGCAGCTTTCACTCTCCTTTAAATGTCAGTGAAAACCTCTCAAAATAACAACTTTCCTCTCACTGATACTTTTTTCATACCATCTTAAACCTGGATACTTCTCTCTGGAAAAGACTTCTCCTGTCTCTTCTGTATCTTCCACTTCGTTTTGACCACTGGGGCTAATATTGAGTCAGATCATGTTAGCCCTTCTTTCCAAATCTTCCAATATCTTGCCCTAGTTGCAAGTAAAAGCCAATATAATCTCAATACTCTATCAAGCTCACTCTACTCAGTATGCCCCCTACAACTCCCTAATCTCTCTGATCTAATCTCCTACTATTCTTCTTTCTCACTCTGCTATAGCCACACAGGCCTCCTCAAATCTGCCAGGAATACTCAGGATCTTGCTGTTCCTTTTGCCTAAAATTCTCTTCCTCGCTTCCCTCAAATCTTGACTCTCATAACCTTCTCAGTATGTCCTTCCCTACTAACCCATTTAAAAGTGCAACCCACCCTACCTATCCTAGCACTCCTTAAGGTTCTTCCTTAATCTGTTTTTCTCCCTAGCATTTATCATCACATTTTAAAAAATCTGATTTGACCACTTTTATGATGGGTACCTAGAACATAATAAATGCTCAATAAATATCAGTTAAATGACTAAACAGCAAGGACAGAATTATACATATTAGTATTCAGTATGTGATACTAAATGTAAAACTATTATTACTAGTTTGGCAATAACTTTTCATTAGGACTAGAATAAAATTGTGTTCATATTTTTGTTTTCATATTTTTTCAGTTGTCAGGAATGTTCATAATACTAAGCTATTAAGATAAAATAATAGCTGGGCGCAGTGGCTCATCCCTTTAGTCCCAGCACTTAGGAAGGCTGAATCGGGGTGGATCTCTTGAATTCATGTGTTCAAGATCACCCTGGGCAACATGGCAAAACCTCGCCTCTATAAAAAATACAAAAAATTAGCCAGGTGTGGTGGCGCATGTGCCTGTAGTTCCAGCTACTCAGGAGGCTGAGGCAGAAGGATCACTTGAGCCTGGAAGGCAGAGTTTGCAGACAGCTGAGATCGCACCACTGCACTCCAGCCTGGGAAACAGAGTGACACCCTGTCTCACACACGCACAAAAAAAGATAAAATAATCCACAACCAGAGATGACTGCACCCCCTAGACAACAGACATCTGGCAGTGTCTAGACATTTTTGTTGCCCAAAGTGGGTAGAAATGAGGAATGCTGTTAAACGTTCTATAATGTAGAGAACAGCTACTCCAACAAAAGAATTATCAGGCTCAATGTCAATAATATCAAGAACGAGAAAACCTGAAGATAGAGCAAACTAAAATTCTCTCAAAAAATAAAAATCCTACAAATAAATATTTTCTTATATTCTTTGTCATATAATTTAATTTGGAATTAGAGTTTCTAAAGAAAATGTGGTGATAACAGTTTTAGCCCACACATTTTACAGATGAAGAAACTGGGGATCATCACAAAGCTAATCATACTGAGGCTAGAACTCAGGTTCAAGAATTCTCAGTCCAGCACACTTTCCTTCTTTAAACTATCACTGATAGTTTCTATTACAATTAGAACTTAACCTAACTGGCTTTCTAACTCTACTTAATTAGAACAAAATTAGACTAAAACATTTCTCTAGCTGAACCTGACATAAAGTATGATTTAGCAGTTGGTGTTATTGTTTTTTTTTTTTT